ATACATATATATATACATATATATATATATATATATATATATATATATATATATAACTGATGAGAAACAGTGGAAGTGCTATTTGACGGAGACAGCCTAGGCCACAATTACCCACAGCAGCTAGTTTATTTAAGAAATCTGTGAGAGCCCTGAATCATGCTACAAAAAATCTCGCCGTACATAAAAGAGTGAAGCAAAAGCAGGGTAAAGCATAGTCAATCAGGTACGATACGATATCATATAATGGCCATTTTTCATTTCGTACCAATCTAACTTGTATTTATAGCCGCATGATTATCCACCCTGAAGTATCCGTACTGATGTCCGGGCGGTCTTGGTATTCCTGGTAACTATTCATTTTAGCACTATGTGTGTTGAATATAGTAACAATTAGCACCATTAGTCAGATTCAAGTTGGCAGTTCGAATTCGCTAATTGGAAAGTCATTTCACACCGATTTGTTGATTTATTTTAGCGCAATTATTAGGTGCGGGGACCTGAAATGCCGTTACGGTGTTTCTTTTCAGTCCTAGGGAAAACAAACCATTGGCAGTCTTTCCTACTTGTGGCTGCCGCTGGGAGTGTGCTGATTCGAGCAGGTACCCTTTGCCTCCGCAATGAAATGTGAATAAGGGGAAGTGGGCAAATGGTCAGAGGGCGATTGTAAGCGGGATGAAACTGAATCAGTCCTAAAGCAACTGCTAACTCAGAAATAACAGTGGCATGATAAAGATAGTTTATTTGTAACTCACATAGCTCCCTCAAATGTGGATCTGTTTTGGCGCGCTCGGAATGGCACATTTTTACCGGACAGCTCTGCAGAGTGACCGGCGAGCTAAAATTCGCTTGCTGAAATGTGCCAGCATATATCATGTGGCGATTGTCCGGGAAGAAATATGAACATGTGCATGTTCCAATACCTAGAAAATGCATACCTTATGATGATTGACAGAGGTAACTTGGTAGTAACATCACCAATATAGCTAATGCTATTGACTGAATGTAGACATTGCTGATCTCGATCAAATTACAGATAAAAGTGATATCGGTAAAAAAATGTATACTAAAATTCCCCATTATCAAAATATTGCCTTTTTCATGCATTTTTTGCTGTGTTAGCAGCAGTACATTGTCACGGGACTGTCTGTATGTGTTTGTGTCTGAGTGTATTTTGTTCCGCATTTTCAACTCGGGAACCAATAAAAGCTGGGATACTGAAACTTTGGTAGAATGTTTCCTGCCAACGTGCGATCTAGTAAACTTAAATTCGGCCTTCACTTACGTGCGGGTATCACGTATGGCCCCGCCAAATTTTTGGTGGGAAAAATTATCTTCGGAACCTCAAAAGCTAGCAAGCTGGAATTTTAAGTTAATGTACGTTGCCCACATACAACCCCACAAATTTAAATTCAACCTTCCCGCGCACTCGGGTTTACATGCGGTCCTGTGAAAGTTTTGGCGGGGAAATTATTATCTAGCGAAATACAAAAGCTAGGGAGCTAAAATTTTACGGCAATGCTACCTGCCCAAATACGACTCCGCAACTTTAAGTTCAGCTTTCCCCTAGATATGGATACCACGTGCGACCATGTGAAAGTTTCGGTGGGGGAAGTTATTTTGGGAACCACGGAGGCTGGAAAGCCGAAATTTTAGGTTACTGCCTTCTGCCCAAGTACGACCTTGCAAATTCAGCTTTCACGAACGCCTGAGTCCTTGTGAATGTTTTGGTGAAAAAAATTATTACCCAAAAGCCAGAAGAGGTAAGAGGCTGAAGATTTCAGGAGGGTGTTTCTGCCTATGCGGAGACCATGCAGACTCAAAATTAATTCCCAAGTATGCCGAGATCTCACACACGACCACCACATAAAGATACTGGCTCGAAAATCACTCAAAAGGCAGAAAATTAGGAGGTTGATTACGTAAGGATGTTTACTGTACAAGGCTTTAGTGGGAAATTTCGCAACTTAGGAACCAGACAACATTTCTATTATTTTTGTACAGACCAAACTGCATGCAGTGAAAATCCCTAGCATGCAAACGTTCGCTGGACGGAACTGCGCAAAACGCATGATCGCACCGGCTACCTTGATGCGAGCTGCTACTTATGTTATGTCCAAGAACTACAAGACACTTAGAAAGTGATAATTGTTACAATGATCTATGAGTATCCTACCTGTGCTGATGCGCTGTGGAATCTGTTTTTCTGGCGGAACCGTCAAATCAAGTTTGTAAATCTGAAAATTAATGATCTTGGTTTCCTAACTGAAAAAATTTAAACTATATTTCTGGAGAGGACGATGATTCTTTTCTATGAGCCTCAGTGAAGAAGATCAGAGAATTGTAGCCTAACTAACGTGTAGATTTGTTGTTTTTAATAAAATAACTAGGAAACCTGATCACAGGAGGTACCATATTCCCGAAGGCCAGCGGCTTGCAACGTCAGCCAATTACCATCAAAACTAAAAAGAACGCTTTCTGCTTCATTTGGGAACAGGATACATTGGACAATGGAGAAGGCAAAACGAAAAAAAATAGAATCAGTGGTTCACTTGCTCCACGGATTAAAACACCGATTTTAAGAAAAGAGGCGCGAATAGGATTGCTACCAGATTAAAATGTTTTTGAACTTACTTGAACAGGCGTTTGTTTTTTAAACCGATTGGCTAGTCGCAAGCCAGAAAAGAGGTAGACTGAGTCATGAGCAATTGGGCCATGAGAAGGCAAAGTGATTGAAATAAACGAAAACCAGCGTTTAAGGAAAAAAGGGGAAAATGAAAAATTCGCCAAATTCGGAATGTACTTTTCTTCTCCAGCGTGCTTCATTTGAATTTAGACATAACTGGCTTAAATATGAAAGAAGTTCATGTTTTCTTAACATCATCGCCCACAAACACCATATTTGTCAATTTCAGAAGCTTAGAATTTAATAAGTTAAGTGAATGTAAGCATTTTAAGTATTTTAAGAAAATGCCAGGACAAGGTTTGTTTTCAATAGACTAATAAAAGGACTTATTTTCGCGGACAGAAAAACTAATTTTTTTTCGTAGAATAGCATTAATAACACACTCGAAACCCGATAATTATCTTAGGTAAAACAAATATTAACCTAAAATATGCTTCCGCATTTTGGCCACCAAATGTCCATTGGCGTACGTTGCGCAGATGGTGCTCTTCGGGAAAATGAATTGTTCCAGATACGGCAGGTATCAGAGCAAAAAATACAATCGCCCGGCACATGAATCCGAATCCGGGAAATCATAAGGTCTTAAGTGATTTTCGTACTTTCCTGCTTTGCTTCAGAATAGAGATGCATAGCACAACTTTCGCGACTGTTACTTGCTTCACCAATTAGCTAACTCCCTACAGTCCTCCCAAAAGGGCTAATAATAAGGGAATTTTTGCTAGCACTTGGTCTAGGAGTTTCCAAATTTTGTATTAAACTCTGTCTTACAACACACTGGGCGCTGACAAGTCTTGACAAATAAGTTTCATGCAGCCATAATTTCAGCGCAAAAACTATGCATAATTAAGCAGTTTTTGCTAATGATATATGCATAGGTTTCTGATGACAATCATTGATGAAAGCACAAGTTAGTTTAATAATCCTTTTCTTATGGAGGCTGCTACAATATTTCAAAGTTTAAAGACATTTCGACGTTTGTTGCTTTCCGGCCTGAATTCTGCAAGATGGATATTTAGGAGAAACAGTATAATTTTTGCAGCATACATTTGTCTCTTTTTGTCAGCTTTATTTAATCAATTCCAGTCAAAGACGAATTTTTCAGGTTTTAGGTCAGTAACCGAACAATCTGTACAAAGAAATAAACATCTGTAATCATTTAAAGAAATAACTGAAAGTGCGACTGTGGTTTTCCTACATGATTTTCCACTTTTCTGCTCAGGTTACTTCTACAGAAGACCCTCAGACGAATTCAGGTGCTTTTTACTGGGTCTATTTCGTTTACTGCAACATTTTTTGCCAGCAGTTTAGGGCTCATCACTCTTTCTTGACAGGCCGCAAAAAGTTGTAGCTCAACTATTTCTCTCGAAGTCAGCTTGAAAATTTAGATGGTATTTTTTGTCCGCAAAAATACATTATTGCAAATATACCAGCGCATGTGTTTCTGTGGCCTAACAAACTCAACTTCGTATTTGCTGAATCTAGGAAAGTGGAGTAGTAAGAAAATATTCTTTCACCATCTACAGTTTCACAAACCTGAAACCAACTTCGACACAGTTTTCAAGTTTGAATTTTGAGCTGAAGCAGACTTCAGGCAAAGACTGCAATAACTCCTCCTGTAGTAAGTTAATATAGAAGTGGACCTCTATTGGC